GGTTTCATCATCTGATGCTATATGGTTGCCTACAGCCTGTGTGCGACTCCAACTTCAAGTGGTGTGAAAAGGCGGCCGACGGCCTCCGAGACGTTTTTGATGTACGGTATCGCCCACCAAAATTTGCGGTCGGTAACTTTCCATTGTCCACCTCATTTGTGCAAACACCGGTTGACGAAGTTTCACGGGCAGCCATTTTCTCTGAACACTCGTCGAAGATATTGCATGCCGGCAACTATATTTTCTGGTTCACTTCAGTGCTTCTCAAAAAATTGATAAAGTGTCCTCACGCAACTGTTTTATGGCGGATTAGGTGGTTGCTGTTGAAATGCAGTTCTTGCATCGTGTTTGTCGCTTTCCTAAAATCTTAAGTCTTTAGGCCACCACAATCTTTGCAACAGACGAGGACATTAAGGAAGGTCAGCTGGTTGTTCTCTTCCTCCTCCATCGTAAATTGTATGTCCAAGAAGACGCTGTAGAGACGTTTCTTGAATGTGCGCAGCTGATCGCTTTCGATGACGTCGGAGGTACCATCCACATACCGCACCAGAATTGTGGCCTGTAGTGTTGGAAGAACAGCGAATCCAGCCCACCCGGCCCTGTTCAGGCAAATAAGAACATTAAATATCCATTAAGGTATAGAAATTGCTATGTATGCCCATCCGTAGTGTGGGGCATCATGACACGATGCGCGCGTCAAGCGCTGGTCAAAGTCAAGGACATATGTTCACCCCTTTCTTTGTTCTGACTGCTCAGTTTTCACTCCTGACTAGCGGGCTCACCCTTGTCCTTATTCTGATTGGCCAGCTTTCGGCCTATAACATTGACCCCACACCATATACACCGCGGTGTAAACATGACTCGTCACTTGAACTGTGTTCTCATGCTCAGTACACGTCCTGCCTACAGACAGTCCTCTGTTTTGCCTAAATGAAATTCTGCCTACAGGCAGCCTTCTGTTTTACATACAGTACATTTGTCCTGGCTACAAACTGCTTTCCGTTTTCAATACATAACACATCTTGTTTGGAGACTGTTTGATTTAAACATTAAACGGTATACAGATTTCACATCAAATTACTTTACCAACACAATAACTACACAAACGCTGTCAACAGGTTTTCGAAAGCTCTCGAGGCCAATAAATGTGCTTAATTATGAGCATGCAGTAAGTGTGCAGAACGTGGCGCCTTCTTGTCATCCGTGTAAATCTAATTTAGAAATAGATAGGTAATTCAGTAATTCATTGATTTTGGGGGCAGTATATACAAATGAAAATTTACTTTATAGAGTTGTTTTATGAGATGGAAGATGCTTGGAAGTCTTTCCACCTGATAGAGAATCGTTAAAGGTATTCCAGTGGAAGTATAACTGCCAGTGTAGCATTGTGCTTGAAGCTGTCACAAACTCTCAAGATAATAAAAAGTGGGTCACAAAAAATCAACCTTGTCTGTGAAGTGACTGGCATGTGTTCTTACAGTTTTCCTCGTCTTTGTCAGTATGTCTTGTGCATTCTCGCTTGGCGCATTTCGACACCTTGTGTGGCCCAATAACAATAAGCTCAGTGGCCATGGTGGGAGAAGAACCCATATGAACACTGGCGAAGCCTAAGTAAAACCGACGCTCTAATCGCCTGGGTCACGAGACGCCACAAGGCGCTGTTGGAGGTCTTATGAACTGAAAGAAGTCCCGTTTGCGCCATTTTCGAAGAAAACTATTGTTGTTGCACTCATTGGTGCCGATAGGTTCATATGTCTCCAGCAGCATCTAACCGCTGGGTTCAAGTCCTTGCGTGTATTGCGGAATACAGTCAATGATGTTAGAATTCACCTTAATAAAATGCATAAAAGAGCTGGCACGGAACACTGCTCGGTTCCATAGAGGCTTTGCCGCACTACTGAGCGGATAAAAGAAGGATCCGATGCGTATTTTTTAAATGAAAGTTTTTAACCTCGCAATAGCGTAAATTGACGTTCCAATTAGGTTGTCAACTTGCAGGCTTTAACCCTTTGTTGCTCTTTCCTATTAGAAAGGTACTATTTTTTAAGTCTTTAGCAGGTGTACCCTTAATGGTTCCTGATCTGAAACGTGTTGATTACTGTCGCGACGACGTCATTTTTTTCGCCTATGTCACAGCTAATTAAGTCTCGTCAATTCTTTTCGGGTGTTATCTATAAGCTAAAATAAGTTATCCAGGAATATAAGGATCCTGAAAAGGTATTCATCATCTAGGTGAAGTATAATTCATTTTTATGCATTCAGAACAGCTTTAACGAATGGTGGATGTTAATTTGACCGAATTCTTCATACATGATGATCCATTTTAAGGTTTTTAGTCTCTGTACCGGGCTTCATCTTGCTGACTTTGCAGATGCAAAAAAAAACTTAGTTTCTTTACACAAAATGAGCAAACACACACATGCCCAACTATGTTATACAAAATTTCCGGTTCTAGAGAAAGGAATGAATAATACTGTTGATCGCTGAGCTAGTGCAAACATTCTGAACTATTGTCTCCCTGCGAAGTATATTTTTTCCCTCCTAAATGGTCATAGTTCGCCAAAGCTACTGAAAAGGGTATTAAGCACTCTAGCCTTTTTTGGTTATTCCATTATGTGCACTTACTTTAACATTGCCTGTTACTTGGCATTGAATACCATATTATTATTTATTCTAATAAAATTACCAAGATGGCTGTCGTTCATGCGCCCATGTTGGAACTCTAACATGCCGCGCAAGAAGAGCTTCAGCTTCTTCCTTTAGAAAACAGTCATCGCAGTCAGATGTCAAGCCCTTGGATTCCATACTAGTCCAGTGAACGCTGAGCGAATGGAAGTCAACTGTGCTCAGGAAATCACTTAGAATATCGGTTTCCTCTGTGTCTGCAGCTGGCACGTACCTGCACCCAGTCTGTCCTCCATGCATGGTAGATAGTTACAGCATGAAGGAGCAGTACACTTCTTTATAATTAGCCCAACCGCCTCTGCAACTTTTGCAGTCTTCCTGGCCTGTTTGTACATGATTAATACGTTCCTAAAAGCAACTTCACCACCCTTGTGGCCACTTCTGTCTTTCTCGAATAATTGACACCTTTTTAATACAATGTGGACCTCACTGATGCTATGAAACGGCCACATTATGGTTTTTTGCTGTGTCATCGCTAGACATATCGCTAACCTATATTCTCAGTGCCTGAGGCCTTGAAAACAAACAGTGAGTGTTTTAACAGAAGCCCAAACAAATCAGTACTGTTTTGGCTAGTTAAATTTTATTTTTCCGCAACTGCTTCTTTGCCGCTGCCATTGTTAACATTAACTGGTCCTAGAGCAATAACGTGTACCTGAGTAATTCCAGCTCCATAAAAATGACTAACATCCAGGAGTTTCCTTTCA